GAGATATTCATACAATTTATCCTTTTTGTAACATCCCAAAAGTACTAAGTAAAATTTTTTGTTTTTAAATCAACCAAACCATCAACCATACATTTCAAAAACCATTAAAGTATGTCGATGTAGAAAATAGTTATCAGAGTACAATCCAAAATCATAAAATGCAGAACACGGGTGGATGTTGTGCGATCGTGTCAGACCATTCCCCTTCGAACCGGAAGTACCTGAAAAACATTTTAAATAAACCATAAGCATAAAGCTTAATGAGTTCCCCAAAATACCACATACCATACATAAATTTCCATGGTCTTACATACAAGTGCCATGGGCTACCCTCATGGTCTTTTCCATAGAATGTAATGGGCTACCCCCAAGGTCTTACAACCAAATTCCATGGGCTACCCCCATGGTCTTTCCTTGAAGTGTCATGGGCTACCCCCCACGGTTTAACATCCAAGTGGCATGGGTTACCCCATGGTCTTTCATGCAATTACCATGCACTACCCCAAATGCCCCGGGCTACCCCCGAGGTCTTCCATGAAAGTATCACAAAGACAACTAACATCCTACATAGCATAGTGGGAATACTCACCTCAATCTGATGATCAAAAATCACACATTTGAGTTGCTGCTACAAAGGTTCCTCACGAACATATCCAAAACCGACCCTAATTAATAATTAGGGTAATAACCCATAATCAAAGGTCTATTTCATACTCTCTCTTACTAGGGTAAAATACCATTTTACCCTTCTCATACTAGACCCAACTAAACATGTCCCAAGGCCCAAAAATGGCCCAAAATGCACTTTTGGAGTATGTCATGCATACTCCCTCATTATACCCTGCGTACTTGGTGTTCACATAGAAGATCACGGGAAAAACTCGTTATGCTCCGCGTACACAGAGGTTACGCCCGTTCATAATCCTCTGTTGTCCAGAACCACTTTTTAAGCTCTTAATACCTAAAGACTAAACGTCAAACTCACAAATCTTAATCTTGGGAAGGTCTTAACTGATAAATTCGACAACTTTAAGCTTTTGCATGGCTTAATAGAGCCTAAAATAAAACCCTAGGTCCATAACACTCTTTAATAACCTCAAACTCTTGCATGAGTGAGAAATAGCAACAAAGACTTTGTTTTTATGATACAAGATCCTCAAAAACAACATAAAGTGATAAACTTGAGCTCTGGAGTAGCTTTTACTCATAAGAACCAAACCATGGGACCAAAAAAGCATGCAAACCTCAAAGCTAGTCTAAATCTAAGCCATAGAACCATAAAAGTAAGAGCTTTATACCTCCAGAAGCTAACAAAGGTGATGAAGGCCCTCGATCTTCAAACTTTAGACACAACAATCTTCATGGAAAAACTTCTACTCCTTCACTATGCACCAAGAACACACACAAGAGGCTCACACAAGCTAACCAAGGATTAGGGTTTCGAGACACTGGTTGGGGAGGATGAAGGCTGGATATGGGGAGGCCTCAAGGGACTTAAGGTCCTTAAATAGGGGCTCAAACATAAAAAAATAGGGTTTGGGATCTGAATGAGTACGCCCTGCGTACTCCTTACGTGCGTCCAACATACTCGACGAAGACCGCATCCACTTTAAGTGACCCACACCCAGCGTACGCATCAGCTACACCCTACATAGGGACTAATTTTGCAATAAATTGTTATTTTTAGCTGGAAATGAAAATACTTGGAAACGGATGTTACACTTTTCTTGGTGTTCATGGAGACGTCACCCGATTCCATAGGTGTACCCATTGCAAGTGTACTTTGGTGTAGGAAATGTTGAGTGTATCTCATCCCATTGGGATTTCAACTTGATGAACTAGGCCGATATAGATGTCTTGTCTTGTCGAGTGGTAGTGAGTTGGTTCTTGTGTTTATAAGCCCTGGAGCACTTTCCTTCCCAAATATTTCATGAAGGTCAAACCAGATTTCTGAAGCAGTATTTGTGTACTTGACGCTGCTTCTTATTTCCTTTTCCATGGTTGTGGTAAGCCCTCCCTTTATCATCGCATCACACCTCATTCATGCCATGTGATCCTTCGGCGCCTTTTCTTGCTTCACAATGGTGTCGTCTATGAAGCCAATCTTGTTTTTGGCAAACAAGAAGTTCCCCATCCCTTGGACCCAATCAGTGTAGTTCTTATTACATAAAGCCTCGTTGACTTGCATTTGTCTAGGATAATTGGATGGGTGAAGATAGTAGGGTGAGTCATGATCCGATGTATTATTGTTGTTCTTGTTGGAAGAGCTGACATCGTCACCTGCCATGTCGATGTGGGTTTAGGGTTTTGTATACCATCTAGTTATCCTGCTTTGATACCATCATAAATTTGATACGTTGTTATTTTATTTATAGATCTAAAATCCTTTTATATACAATACAATAAAAGGATAAAAACATCTAACTAGGAAATAGGAGATAATATATATATATATATATATATATATATATATATATATATATATTCAAATCAATTTCAATTGGTAGGAGAAGAGAGGGATAAGAGAGAGTGTGGCAAAAAGATGTCAAGGGGTTGAAAACTCGGCATGATGAGTCTGGGGACAATATTTCCTGAGCCTAAACTTTGCCGAATAGCATGCAAGACTATACTCCATAGCCTAAAATTAGTAGGGAAATTAATTAAAATAAGGAAATAGTCAGTGGAAATGGCAACAAAACAATACAACTTAACCAAACACATACAACGACTAAAATCAAGAAAAACAACAAAGGAAGCTTCATGAGAAAGAGACTTCATAAGTATACGAGGCAAAGCCCAACATACTAACATTGAACTGTGGGATGCCACTAAATATAACATCGAAGTTTTTGGAGAACATGAAGAGCACCAACCATTCAAGAAATGAACCAGTAACAACCACCATCATGAATAAACTAGAATGAAACCACTCACCCCAAAGATACAACCAAGGTAGAATGGTGATAAAGCCACTAACATTGAAAAAGTGCAACAAACTTTCCATGTATTGATCTTCAAACACCACACATCTTAACCTTTTTATATAAGCACACCTCAACTTGGCAATATGATGTAATACTAACCCAAAAATCCAACATCACCGTCATCAAGGGCATTGTCAACTACGTTTTGACAAACATGAAACACCCTCGATAAGGTAGCTTACAGATAACCTTAAAATCATTTGAATTTAAACCAAAAAAAAATCAAAGATTTAAATGCGGAAAATATACGGTCTTAAATACAAACAGTTTTAAAATGCTTAATAGAATGAGCAATGGTCAATTAACATCACAACAAAGTCAAGTGAAACCACACAAACTGTGGCCTTCTCAAAATATTTGCTAACTTATACTCAAGCTTTCTAAAGTCTCTAAGTGAAACCACACATATCGTGGTCTTCTCAAAGAACGATACTTATGCGATAAACCTATCCTAAAGTGGCTAATATATACTAATCTTTTGTAATTTTATTTTATAACTATGTGATTCACGAGCCTTTATCTTAAGTTATATGAAAGAACATGAAGATTAAGCAAAAATAAGTTTCATTTTGACTTCTTGTTTTCATAAAATCTAAGTTCAAAAAATATATAGTTATGCACTAAGTCTATCCCACAACAACGAGGGCGTGCCCAAAAATAAAGTTAAGGTGTGTAACAACTTTTTTCTACATAAGATATAAAAGACTCGATCTCGAGCTCGAGCTCAACTCGCTTTGAACCTTAACTTTAAAGCTCGAGTTTAGGTCGTAAGTAATTTACAATCTTGGACTTGCTCGCTTAAAAAGCAAACATAAACGAACTTAGCAAGTGTTCAAGTTGACCTGTTGACGAAACAAGCCCATCAAACTTGACTAAATTAATTAGGCAAGCCCACAAGACGTTTAACGAACACCGCCTTTATCAAAAAATAATATTCTAGAAAAATATTTGCAACTTATCCCCTTTAAGAGGTTAAAAACCAACTAAGTGTTTATGATTTTTTGTGATAAACGAATTTGTTTTACGGATGAATTTATATGCATAGGAGCATCAACATTTTGTCTTCCTAGTGATGTGGACTCCTAACTCCTCTTTATAAGTTCTCCCTTAATGTTTAACCAGGTGTAAAACCCGTGTATTACACGGATTGATTAAAAAAAACAAAATATTAAAATATAAACAATAACTATTTTTTTAAATACAATTTTGAAATAAGAAATGAAGAAACATATTAATTGCAATTTAGTGTAATATTTATTACATTTGATACTTAACATATATAAGTATAAGTATTATGTGACTTTTTTATTTTAAAAATTGAAAAAAACCATAAATTGACATGTGAATATTATTTATTTAAAAGTTATCACAAAATGACAAGTGTCAAAACTCATTAGAGATTGACATGTGACAAAATTATCTTCATTTATTATAGTAGATAATATATTGTTCATAATATGAATTTGAGAGAAGGATGATGATACTATTTGATGAATTATCTAAAAATAAAATTATGTAAAAAACATAAAAGAAGGTCACTAACATTACATTTTACATAAATTGAAATAACAAACTTGTCTTTTTTTTTTTTTTTTTTTTTTTTTTTTTTTTTGCAAATTGCACAATAATTATGATACAATGAATGTATGGATTGTTTGCAATGAATTCATTTTGAATAACATATTTAATTATCCAAAGATGTAACTTGAGATGATTGATTTAAAATTCGTAATTGATAATCCGTAAAAAGAGGAAGAAAAGTCATGGCATTTTTGTTACAACTGTGTTCCAAACCAAACCAAATTTATGTTGTTGTTCATAGTACTTAAAATTGACAAGTTTTTTCCCGGAGATAAAAGAAGAATGTAACATTAGTTAAAAAAGGAAATAATATATATTAAATAAATAATTACAAAAATAAACAAAGTATATTGTTTCTAAAATACCCCATCTAACAAAAGTCAAACAGGAAAATGTCAAAATTACATGCCTGCTTTTTAAACCTAATTGACTAAATATCCTAAACCTAACCAACTCCCACAATTGACTCTTTCTTTCCTTCCCTTTTTTCTCCGATCGGCCTCAACTACACCTCTACAAGTCGAACCTTCAATCTGGTGTTACCCTCGCCTCCGGCTTCGTCTGATTCCGCTGCTTCTAGCACCGCTCTACGTCTGCCTCCGCCAAGTGTCTGCCTCCGCTGCTGATGTCTCAGTTTGTCGCCTTTTCTTACTCTAGCTTCTTCCTCGGTTAACTCTCACTCAGTTACACAATGTGATTCGATTTTTTCATTTCTTGCTAAGTAACATAGACCCAACTTACACTGAGATTTGGTTAAACGTTAAACGAAAATCAGGATTTAAGGTGTTTGGTGTTGGAACTTTAGTGTTCTTTCAGATTTTTAAGAATATGCTTTCTTTCATATATTTTTTATTATCAGATTCTAAGAATATGCTTTCTTTCATATCCTTAGAATTAAAATGAAATTGGAAAAATTGATACTTGGATTGAATGGTAGATTTGAGTACTAAATCAAAACAAAACAAAAGCAAATTTAGTTTTTTTAGACTAAAGATGTGTAATATCTTGAAAAATAAAAACTCGATTCAAAATTAAAAATCGAAAGAAGGTACCAACCTTATGTTCTTCCCATCCATTCCTTTTAGTTCTGGTGGCTACTGGAAGTTCTGTATTGGCGAGATGCGGTTGGAGGATGTTATGATGGAGCATAATGAAGGTTTAGGAGTAGCCATTAGCAGATAATATAGGATTACGCATAGGTATTTAAAATAATCTGTCCCTGTTTTTTTGGGTTTCATTCTATTTTTTTGCAAAATAAAAAGGAATGAGATATCCGACATTTAAAATTCTGATTTTCAGCAATTGTGGTAGATTATAGAATACTTTATAATTTAAATTCATGATATTCAACCCAAATTTAACTAAATAAGAAAATATTTGGAAGTATAATGCTAAAATGAGACTTTTTTTGAAGTAGAATGCTGAAATACAAAGAATTTCAAGGTACAATTATGAAAAAATGCATATCTATTGCTAAAATAGTAAACTGAAATAGCATTGTAGTTATGTGTTTGACAATTTTAGCAAGCTTTTAAAGTACCTTGTATGTAGGAATCTTAAAATTTCGAAGAAAAGTGAAAGGTGAAATTAGTGGTAGATGCAAATGGAGGAGCCAATGCAAGAAAGTGAACAGAGAAGAATGTAAAAATCGTTGAAGAGGTAAATAAATTATTGTATGTTGTTTAAATGGGAACTGTTCTTTATACATTCATTGTACAATATTTTTTAATGAAAAATTGAATAAAAACTATAATGATAACTATCATAAACATAAAAAAACGAATTATGAAAATACGAATCTGCTGTTGTTTCTTTGTCTTTGGTGGAAGAGGTGAAGAAAACGAAAACAGTGAGAAGAGCTGAAGAGGAAAACCATTGTGATGTGCAAACAGAATGGCAGGGGCAACATATTCTGCAACCGCAAGAAGCCTTTAACTTCAACAGGTACATAAATAATATATGAAGAATACGTGGGTTGAAATCTATTTCCTGCTTTTTTACAATTTACTCTATTCTAAAAGGAATAGAATGATGAAAAAATCTTGACAATCTTAATAATAAAAAAAAATGAATCTTAACAATAAAAAAAACGAAATAAATGGGAGAGGATATGGTAATGCCGAATTCAATATGAAAAATATGTATACTGTGGATAAATAGTTTTTTTTGTTATGATTGAATTATATAAATTCTAAAATCATGGCTGATTTATAGGGATTACAAAATCAAGTAGATACGTAATTGAATAAGGTTTAATGAGTTTCTGTTTTAAAAAAAACATGCAGGAAATAGGATTATAACAAACACCCATTTATTTTGGAATGAACGGAAGTTGCTGAGAAAATTGAATCGAAGGGCAATTTTGGGAATTCAGTTAGATGATAGGAGCGGGAAAATTCGATTTGGGGTGGCTTGGAGAATGCCACGTGGCAACAATCTACTTATTTATTAGATTAGTGGATGTAGTTCTAAAATTCAAATAAACAATTTTTTTGTTCAATATAGTTTTTTTTTGTTTATTAATATCGGTAATGTTTCTTTTTTATTTCTTTTTTTTTTGTTTGTGATGCTCGAAAGTTTTCTACTTTGAAATTAGATTAAGGTTTATTTACTTTGTTGTTGTGTTGTACGTTTACTATATTCCTATTATGTGGTATAGTTGATGATGGTTCTTTTAGCTTACTTTACGTTGAATTCTAAAAATTTTATTGTTACATTTTTAAGCAAGAAGGTTGAGTTGCGGGTAGACTTGGCAATCCGTATCTGCAATGTTGTGTATATGTATCAGACACAAATTTACACAACATGAATTTGTTGAACACGAACACGACACCAATTGTAAAACGTGTATGGGGTACCAAACACGAACACGACACGTAACAAATTTATGTGACACGTGATACGACATGAATAGACACGTTTTTCTAACCAGGTTGCATGAAAAAACACGAATAACCATGTTTTTAATACCGTTTTTTTAAGGTAGGATAACATGCAAATAATCTTATTCCAAAGTACAAAGTACAAACTCCCAATTACAATCTCTAATATTTTATAAATGTCAACTTTAACCCCTAAATCTATATGCGTATATGTGTTTATAGTCACGTGTCGATTCAAATTTGTGTTGTGTCTTATACATGTCTAAACGTGTAAATTCGTGTTTGACATATGTAAGACATGAAACACGAATTTAAAATACGTGTCGACACGAATAAACACGAAACAAGGATTTCTAAAACGCATACAAGAAAAGCTCATGTTGTGTATCAAATTGCCAGGTCTAGTTGTGGGAGTTAAAGAACAAAGTAATGATGGTTTTAGTTTGTGTAAGATAAAGAAGTTCGCAGGATTCAATTATGTTCCACCGGATCATTTGCTTAGTTTTCAATATTCATCCACTTGCACCAAGAGGTGAAAGATATTTGATATATTTTCTAATATCGTAAGTCTATATAAGTGTGGTTTGGTTTTCATTGAATTGTGAATCTCTATGTCAAAGAATATTTTTTCAAGTAGAAGTATTGGATACATAGTTCTTATTAGAAGCAAGGGGAAGATATCAACATGTTGGCACTTGATAGCCATCCAAAGCCAACTAAAGTTATTTATAAGCTACATGATGGGCTGAAGTTGAAGGAATGCTAGTCTTGGCTTGGCTGAGCGATCGAGGATATATATTTTGTTTGTTGAGGATTAAGGGTTGCACGATTTTTTATTTCAGATATTGTATCTATGTATAAAAAAAATATACACTGTTTGGCAAATGTTGAGGGGTATCTCGGGAAAACCTCTGTTTACTAGCTAGGTGGCATCTGCTAGTGTATAGGAAATTTTGCTAAAGCTAACTTTTTTATAAAGAAACCAAGGGAGGATGCCAACTCCCATGAGGGAAAGAAGTTTCAGCCATTGTAACCAAGCCTGTAAAGAACTGCCGGTTCTAGAAGGAAATGATGTGACCACAGTTCCTAAAGTTTGAGTTTTGAGTTTCATAAAATGATTCTTCAGGATGATTATGTTTGTTTTTATAATTTTGACTTTAGATGTGCCAAAATCTTGAGTGGACTACTCGAATATGAACATGGTGTTTCTTTTTCTTCCCGGATATTGCATTCTTGTTGCTTGATAAAATGTCAATGATAACTTTTTTTTTCTTAGCAACATATATGTATAGCCATAGCATTTCCAATCTTTAGTTAATAAATTAACAAAGTCTGTCAAATTAATAAAATTCACAAATAACAAAGGTTTTTACAAAAAGAAGACAATCATATCCACAAGGAAAAGAAGTAAACAACAAATTTTAATGATCAAATGTTGGAGCATAACAAAAATCAATATACACACCATACATATTAAAATTCATATTAATTGTAGATAATACTTTCATTCTTACTACACACATTCATGGATGTTAAATCTACATACTAAATTGCGTACATTTACTGAACAATATAACTGGTGGGATATTAGCTGAATCAAATATAACAACATTCAGATTAATAGTTAGAGAATCTTGGATGTATATGACTATGGATTTGAATGTTCTACATACAATACTTTTACAGCTTTTATTGAATAAGAATGGATTGGTAAACCAAAAACTGTTAGTTACCATTTACTAATCAGAATGAGATGAACGATGATGCCCCATAAAAATTGCAATAAGATCCATTTCCAGATACTCATGAAAAGGAAACCTTTTGAAGCCAAAATTACATATTTAAACATTGCCATCCTTTTATAGAAATGATGATAAAGGTTTGGATCCACAAGGTTCCTCTATTTTGTCAATTTTGAAATTTGAAGGGTACAATTATATGAAATGATTAATAATCAAGATTTTCCCTTAAACTATGTGAGGTTAACATTTTTCTCACTATTATTGGCTTTAACAATCTTGTATGAGTGTTCGGATAAACGCATAAACCTTACTTTCAAGTAGAAACACAAACACTTCCATTTGTTCGATGATTTATTATTAAATTTGAATTTCCGTATTAGGGATTTTTTATGCAGTATAGTTTAGTGATTTGTGATTACATTAGAATTTCTACGTGTTTAGTAATTTCTAATACATTTGAGTTTATACAGGTTTGTAATAGCCGATCATATCTTAGGAAGATATTTGCAGTTTGAGCTGGGGAAGGACCGACACTCAAAATGGATCGAAATTGTTGATATAGGTAGCGAGGTAAGCCTTTGCGAAGATGTCCGCATATTGCATAGAGGCAGGAATGTGAAGAACTCGAACAAGACCAAGACGAAAGTGGATATCAATTTTCACATGTTTGGTGCGCTGGTGCTGAACTGGGTTTTGTGACAGATAAACTGCAGATACATTGTCACAGTAAACAATCGTTGCTTTGCTTAGTGGAACATGAAGCTAAAGTAAGAGATTACGTAGCCAGGTAGTCTCAGAAACAGCATTAGCAACACCACGGTATTCGGCCTCTGCACTCGAGCGTGAAATCGTTGGTTGGCGCTTCGAGGACCAAGACACAAGGTTGTTGCCAATAAAAACACAATAGCCAGAAGTGGATCGTCGCGAGTCAGGACAACCGCCCCACTCAGCATCAGAGTAGGCAGTAAGTGTGTGAGAGGAAGATGCAACCAGTTGAAGACCATAGTCAATGGTACCTTGTAGATACCGAAAAATCTTCTTCATGAATTGAAAATGGGGCTCGCGCGGAGCATGCCTGAATAAACAAACTTGTTGAACAGCATAGGCAATGTCGGGGCGAGTAAAAGTCAGGTATTGGAGAGCGTCGACAAGAGTACAATAGAGAGTGCCATCAGCGAGTAGTGCACCATCAGTGGCACTGAGTTTGGTGGACGTATCCACTGGTGTAGCGCACGGCTTACATGAGGCCATATTAGCTCGTTGAAGGATGTCACGAGTGTAAGAAGCCTGCGACAAAAATAACCCATGCTTATCACGAGTAGCCGTGATACCCAAAAAATGGTGAAGCGCCCCGAGATCAGTCATAACAAATTCCTGAGACAAAGAAGTGATAATGCTACGGAGAACGTCAGGGTCAGAAGTTGTCAAGATTATGTCATCGACGTACAATAATAAATAAGCACGATGACAACCGTGCTGATAAACAAATAACGAAGAATCACAAATGATACTCTTGAAACCCCAAGAAGTAACGAACGAGGCAAAGCGAGTGTACCAAGCACGCGAAGCCTGTTTAAGTCCATACAAAGATTTCCGGAGACGGCAGACCTGAAATGGAAACCGACTATCAACGAATCCAGGGGTTTGGTGCATAAAAACCATCTCGTGGAGATCGCCATGGAGAAATACGTTCTTGATGTCTAACTGATGTATCGGCCAACCTTGTGAGACTGCGAGACTGAGAACTATGTGTATAGTAGCTGGCTTCACGACAGGAGTGAATGTTTCTAAACAGTCAACACCTACTATTTGTGATTTCCCATTGACAACCAGTCGTGCTTTATAGCGGTCAAGTGTTCCATCAGCTTTAAGTTTGTGACGAAACAGCCACATACATCGAATAACATGGATGTTGGTTGGTTGGGGAACAAGTTCCCATGTTTTGTTTACCTGTAAAGCTCGAAATTCATCTTCCATGGCTCGTAGCCAATTAGGGTCAGACATGGCGGCAGAGATGGATGTAGGAATTGGAGAGATAGGTGGAGTAGAAGAGGTATGGAGGTTTAGACGGGTAACAGGTTTGGTTACTCCTGCTCGTGCACGAGTGGTCATGGGATGAGTACGAAGGGAGGTTGAGGGGGAGTTTGAGGTGGAGTGGATTGAGGATGGGTTGTTGTAGGTGAAGGTGGAGTGTGGGAGGGAGGTATGGGTGTTGATAAAGGGTCGGTGGTGGTGGATGGTGCTTTTGACCGGCCAGAATAGGTCAAGATAGGAGGGTGAGGATATGAGGAGGTGGAGTGAGGTGGTGTTGAAGATTGGGTAGGGGTGGTGGAATGAGGTGGTGGTGAAAGAAGAGTAAGGTTGGTGGATGTGGAGTAGGGAAAAGCATGAAGGGGGGAGGGGATCATCAAGAAAGTCAAAAGATGTGGAGGGGGGAGGGGTATTGGCAAAGAGAAAAGAGGTTTCATCAAATGTAACATGTCGAGATAGATAGACTTTGCCAGTTGATGGATCAAAGCATCGATATCCCCGAAAGTTTTCCGGATAACCAAGGAACACACATTTGACGAATCTTGGTTGGAGTTTATGAGATTGAGTAGATGAGATATTAGGATAACAAGTGCACCCGAAGGTGCGGAGATGATCATATGATAGTTGACGACCATAGAGAGAGAAGGCAGGTGTGGAAAAATTTAGGCGTTTAGTAGGAAGGATATTATAAAGGTAGGTGGCGGTGTGAAGAGCTTCGACCCATAATGAGTGGGGAAGAGAAGCATGAGTGAGAAGGGTACGGATAATGTCATTAATGCGACGAATCATCCGTTCGGCTCATCCGTTTTGTTGGGAAGTTTGAGGGCAAGAGAAACGGAAGACGAGACCGTGAGTGTGGGCAAAGGATTTAAAGTCATTATTTTCGAATTCTCCCCCGAGATCGCATTGGAATGACTTA